ATCCCCAGTGGAGGGCATGCAGGAGGCTGCCAATCGATGTTCTCTCTCATCAATGTTTCTATCTCTCTCTCTCTTTTCCTCTCTCTAAAATCAATAAAGAAAAAATATTTTAAAAAAAAGAACAGGTCACAACAGGCGATTTTCATAACTGTGGTAGGGTAAGCTAGCTGGCCGAGGCAACGCCAAATGGTCAGAAGATGGCATCAGTGAAAGAAAACTATGAAATAATGTGACAGGACCCTGGGAACCAACGGCTGGAGGTAGCCTGGAATGCAGCGACTGGGAACAGAGTGGTTCTTCTGGAACAAAGGAGTCAGCCAAACATGATTCCGAGAGGCAGAAAGGCAAACACCAGGCCTTCTGAGAATGGTTGCTATGACCACAAACCGAAAACAGACAGTTTTACATTCGTTTCTGGCCCCACCTGTACTCACTGGTATTGGCATCGATGTTACCTTGGAGCAGGGACAATGTCTCACAGGAAACATTAGTTTACAATGTTACTTAATTAAACACAAATACAACTTCCTTAGTTTACTACCAGAAAGAAAAAAAAAATTAAACAAACAGCTAAATTTCTCAAAAATCTCACTTGCATACAACATATGCAGATAATAGCTTCTAATTGTGAGATTTGGCGCAAATTACTGCATTTCTTTTTGTGTCTTTGATTCCAAATGTTATGAGGAGGACTACAATAAGTGCTATATATGTGTTAGCTATATTATTATTATTATATTATTATTGTTAAATCACTACGCTAAGCTCAAAGTCAGATGAACACTCAGCCTGTCCTCGCTCTTTGTCCTTTATCCTGTCGTATCCCTAGAGATATTTTTGGGTGAACATCTACTTATTACATAATCTTTTAAGAAGCTTCTTTTTATACTTGAGACAGTGTCCACACATTTTATCTGGACTTCACAAGTTGCGGAGGTACAGGAAATTCCTGTCTTTATACAATATGTTCAGACCACCGTGTCAGGAGAGGTGACAGCTATAGTAAATCTCTTGAGCTCTTTGGTCTGCAGCCACTTCTTAATGGAAAGGGCTATTTCTGACCTTCAGATCATGGTAGTCACAAATGTCAAAGGCAGACCTTTTCCATCCTCCCAGACTCCCTTCCCACTCTGCCGTCTTCAGTCCCACCTTTCTCCCCTGTCCCTTGCCTCCCGTAGATGAGTGAATGCTGACGGAGTGTGACTGGGGAGCATGACCTAAAATATCTTCCTGTGCTCCTGCGTGCTGGGCGTTTCATCATCTGCTTTGTACTCTGAGGTCTGAGCAAAGGGGGTTCCCAGTCCAAGTCCATGACTATAAATATGCCTCTAGGTTAGGACTGTCATCAACAGTCCCTAGATAAACCACCCCTCCGAGGAGGGGAGCATTAACCTATTATCTTCCCAATCTCCTTAGGAACACCGGACCAATACTGAAGGGATTTATTTAAGGAGAGGCACACGCGTAATAAGGCCTGCAGAAAAACCTGATCAACACTCATGTTTCATGGGGTGTACTTAGTGTCTTAAAGTTTTGTTGTTTTGGTGACTTTTCAACCTTTTAAAACCAAGGTATTTTATAACTTCTCTTGAGAAACAAAAACAGAAAAATAGAAGCTCTAGCAATGTTGTCCTGCATCCTCACCAAATCACAGGGGTCTCAGGGGTCCCCAGCCAGCTTACCCACCTGCCCATGGGCCCCTGAGCTTGGGTAGAAAAATCGAGAGAGCAGGCCTGGACAGTTGGAACCCATTTGTCTGGTCTATACTATTCCAATTCAAATATTCCTTTTAACCCTACAAATAGAAAAATACAAAACACAAATGCACAATTTGAAAAAAGTATGATACAACGTAACATGGTCCTTATCTTAAAAGAACTTAGGTATTTATTGAGAAAACAAAATATGCATGTTAAACTTCAAATAAGGATACAATATTCTTACATTGTAAAAGCATTTTATATTTTCAATTCCCTCATCTCTTAGAGATAACTTTGCTTCTGTTGAGTTCAGTACTTACCACCCCATGGCTGTCTGCTTCCCCCTAGACCCAGCTCCTCAAGGCCAGAGATTGCCGTCTCACTGTGCCCTCATCACCAAGTGCTAAAGGTGCTCAAGAATGCTGTCCCAGCTGGTGTGGCTCAGTGGTTGAGCATTGACCCATGCACCAAGAGGTCGCCAGTTCAATTCCCCATCGGGGCACATGCCCAGGTTGTGGACCCAATCCCCAGTGGGGAGCATGAAGGAAGCGGCCAATCAATGTTCTCTCTCATTGATGTTTCCATCTCTCTCTCTTTCCCTTCCTCTCTAAAATCAATAAAGAAAAAAAAAGAAAGAAAGAAAAAAAAAGAATGTTATCTGGGGGTATCTGAGATCATGTTATTTTGTGGGGATGCAGGATGACATTGTTAGAACTTCTATTTTTATGTCTTTATTTCTCAAGAAAAGTTATAAAATATACTGGTTGACAAGTCACCAAAAAAACCAAAAGCTTTAAAATGCTGAATAGAGCCCAGCTGGTGTGGCTCAGTGGTTGAGCGTCGACCCCTGTACCAAGAGTTTGCCAGTTCCATTCCCAGTCAGGGCACATGCCCAGGTTGTGGGCCCGATCTCCAGTGGAGGTTGTGCAGGAGGCAGCCAATCGAAGTTCTCTCTCATCAATGTTTCTCTCTCTCTCCCTATCCCTTCTTCTCTCGCTAAAATCAATAAAGAAAAAAAAAATGCTGAGTGGACCCTGGCCTTGGTCAGGTAGTTGAGTTGGTTAGATCGTGGTCCCCATATACTAAGGTTGTAGGTTTGATCCCTGGGCAGGGCAAATACAAGAATCAACCAATAAATGCATTAATAAGTGTAACAACAAATCTCTCTCTCTCTCTCTCATTAATTAAAAATACTGAGTAACCCTGGCTGGTTTGGCTCAGCGGCTGGAGCGCCGGCCTGCGGTCCAGAGAAACCTGGGTTCGGTTCCCGCTAAGGGCACGTACCTCGGTTGCAGTTTGTCCCCGGCCCTGGTTGGGTCATGTGGGTGGCAACCACTTGATGTGTCCCTTTCATGTTGATGTTTCTCTCTCTCCCTCCCACTCTATCTGAACAAAAAGTGGAAAAATGTCCTCGGGTGAGGATAAAAAACAAATACTGAGTAGAGCCCGGCTGGTGTGGCTCAGTGGATTGAGCGCCGTCCTGTGGACTGAGAGGTCCCAGCTTGATTCCGGGTCTGGGTCCGAAGTTGGGTGCTTGATCTCCAGAAGGGGGCATGCAGGAGGCAGCCAATCGATGTTTCTATCTCTCCCTTCCTCTCCCTCTAGAAAATCAATAAAAAAATATTAAAAAAAACAAAAAACAAAAACTTAGTAGACCCAAAGTACACAACTGTGGCTCATGAGTAAATGGCAAATAAACTTTTTTTTTTTTTTTTTAATCCTCACCCGAGGACATTTTTCCATTTTTTGTTCAGGTAGAGAGGGAGAGAGAGGAACAGAGAGAGATAGAGAAACATCGACGTGAAAGGAGCACATCAAGTGGCTGCCACCTGCACGACCGACCAGGGCCCGGGACAAACTGCAACCGAGGTACGCGCCCTTAGCGGGAACCGAACCCGGGTCTCTCTGGACCGCAGGCCGACGCTCTAACCGCTGAGCCAAACCGGCCAGGGCCAAATAAACATTTTTAAAAAATATGTTTTTATTGACTTTAGAGAGAAAGGAAAGAAGAGGGAAAGAGACAGAAACATTGACCAGGAATCGAACTGGGGATGCTCAATCCACTGAGCTACACCAAATAAGCATTTTTAAATAGTAGTTACCATTTATTACCTACTCTATGTCAGCCATTTTATATATATTATTTATGTTCAAACATAACTTATAACACAGGTAGCAGTTGTGGTTAAAAATTCAAACAGCAGCCTTGGCGGGTTTGGCTCAGCGGTTCCAGCGATGGCCCACAGACCGATGAGTCACGGGTTTGATTGTAGCCAAGGGCACCTACCCCGGTTGCAATCCCCTGCCCTGGTCTGTGGTTCGGGAGGCAACCAGTCTATGTGGCTCTATCACATTGACGTTTCTCATTCTCTCTCTCTCATTCTGTCTGAAAATGAATGGAAAAATATCCTCAGGTGAGGGTTAAAAAAAAATTTTTTTTTTAAATCAAACAGCACATAAACATATAGTATAAAAAGTGAAAACCTGTTTTTTCCTCCCCAACCTTGTGCCCCATCCCAGGTGTCCCCGCATATTCCGAGTTTGGGGTGCATTATTTCGAATATGAATAGATATAGACTCATTCCCAAGCCTGTCATATATATCAGATTAGCCTCATTTTACAGATGAGAAACTGCAGTACAGAAGGGCTGAAGTATTCATCCAAGACCGTACTGGAGCTGAGAGTCAAATCCGACGGTGACTCCTACGTCAGCGCATTTCCCCCTGTTCGCCCCAGTGTAAAATTTTAGGGATGAAGAAATCGAGGCTCATCCAGGTGCCCGAGCTATCAGAACCACATAGTGCAGGACCCAAATGGGGAGCCACAGAGGTAGCACGACAGGCTTCGTGGAGGAGCGGGCCCTGACCCCCCCTGGTCTGGGGCGCGCGGGGCCATCCCCCCCGGATGCACGGCCCCCATCTGGGCCCGGGCTCGCTCCCGCCGCTCGGGGACGGGCGCCACCCAGCTCCATGGCGCCGCTCGCGGGCGCCGCGCTCGCACCGCCCCCTCGGAGCCGGTCGGGAGGCCGGGGTCCTGCACTCCACAGCCCTGGCCCGGCCTAGCTCAAGGGCCCAGGGACAGTGCCGGGGCGACGGCTGCCTCCAAACCGGCTGGCACCCGCCGCGTTTCGCCCCGTGGAGCCATTGGCGGGCTACCCTGAGTGGGTGGCCTGGGCGAACAGATGAGGATGGGCCGCCCCCACGCGGGGGCCGCCAAGGGGCGAGGGCTGGGCGCGTGGCGGGCGTGGCGGGGGCGTGGCGGGGGCGGAGCCGCGGCCGGAGGCGGCAGTGTCCGGAGCCCGGCTCAGGGGCCGCCGTGGCCGCCGCGGAGCCAGGCTGCCTCCAGAGAGCGCCCGGGCGCAGAGAGGTTAACGGGCCGCCGGGGCCACGCAGAGCAGGTACAGACCTTCCCTGGGATCCCCGGCCCCGGCGCCCTCTCTCCTGGGTCCCGCTAGGCCACCCGCCCCGCGCGTCCTCGCCGCCCCCGCTCCCTGCGTCCCGCGGTCGCGCCCTAGCCACGACCCCGTCCCCAGCTCCTATAGCCTCGGAAGATCCCCCAGTCCCTGAGGTCGAATTCCTGGGGAGGGGGCTCTGATCCCGTGGAACTCTGTCCCTGTCACCCGGGGGAAGAATCAGCCAAAATTCCTAAGTCACATAGTAAAGTTGGAAAACATACCCAGGACCTCTTCGCACGCGCCAGCGCCTCTTGCTCTCCCCTGGAGGATGGTGTGCCCCACTACCCATCGCTCCTAGAGTTGGGGGACAGGGGCACTGGGAGGAATGCAGTGGGTGCCTGTGATCCTGTTCAGCCTGATGACTAGAAGGAAGGACACCTGTTGGGATGGTCCTCCAGGACCCAGGAATGGAGGGCACAATGAGGACCAAGGAGTTCTACCCAGATAGGGACTCTCCATGCCAACCCTCAAACATGCTGTTCAGCCCTCTTCCCCGAAGCACCACCGTTTCTCAGAGGTGGGTCCCTCTGGGAGTAAAAGGGTTAGCCTTGCCCAGGTCTCTCTCCTCTTTGATCTTCACTGGCTAGTGTGGAGGTGTGGCCAGGAGGAGCCCAGGTTTGTCCAGACTAGTGTCCAGCCTGGCACCAGAGTACCACTTCTGACCTCTCCCTTCCTCATCCTGGGCAGTGAGACCCATCAGATGAGGGTAAAGGGGTAAAAAGCACAAATGTGTGTCCTGTTTCTGCAGTGGTGGGGCTGTCGGCCCCCTGCCCAGCTGTGCAGGGGGGCTGGAGTGGGACTTTTCCAGAGAGGGAGCCAGGCCTGGCCAGAGCCCCAGGAGCTCACGTCACCCCCACCCTCCACCCCTCACTTCTCCAGGGAACTGCCAAAGCCAAACCCAGCTCAGAACAGGATTATGTGTGCTGGGTAGACCCATGGAGAGAGACAGCAAGATACAGACTTGGGGTAGCAGAGAAAAGCAGTCAGAGAGGGAGTGGAAAGGGGACCTCCCAGCAGAGAAGGGACAGACGGTGACCATCACCCTCATCTCTCCTTCCCTTCAACCTCAAGTAACTGAGTCAGGCAGAGAGTGGAAGGTTTGGGTGGAACTTTGGCCCTTCTCTGGAACTAGTCCCCCCCACCCCCATCAGGGTGGAGTTACTGACCTCAGTGGGCAGCCCAGCCAGGGGAAGGAGCAGTCATCAGCAACCCCCTCCCCAACCCCAAACAGCTGGGGTGACCCTGCAGGTCAGGCTCAAATTCTCAAATCCTTCCTGGGGTCTCGGAGGGAGTGGGGCTGAGTGTTGCTATCCCCAAGCACATTCCTGCCCTTCCCTCTGTCATTTTCTGGCCCCTGAGCTGGCCCACCTCGGCACTGGCTCCTTGGACTCCTTTCCCGGGTGCCTTTCAGATCCAACAGAAACATTTTTGTTTTTTCCTGGAAAGCATAACTAAGAGTAGGATGAAGGGTGGGGGTGTGAAGGGCTGGCATTGAGCAGGAAGGGGCTGGAGGGCAATGGGGGAGCTATGGAAGAGGGAAGCTTTGAGTCAGGGGAGGGTTCCAAGTTCCACTTCCCTGAGTGATCAGAGCTAGACTTAGGAACAGACTTCTGGGCTCTTCAGAATGGCAGGCCAGTGGTTGGGGAGTGATGGCAGCTATAGTTGCATCTTTTCTTCTTGGGTTCCCCCAGTCCATCAAAGTGACGCCTGAAATAAGCCCTCATTGAACCAGTTGCTGGACGCTGGCCTCTAAGGGGAGGTTAAATCGCAGTGGGAAAACCACCTGCTTCTCTAGAGATTAAGCCATCAGCCCACTTGGTTAATTCCTTGGCTAAAAAGTGTTTGAGGCAGTCAGACATGTGTTGAGTGTTCCAGAAGGAGTTTAGCAAAGAAGAGACTGGAAGGCAGGTAGGAAACAGAAAGCCCAAGGGGCTTCTTGTGAGCTCCTCAGGGGGGCATCTGGCATGTCCTCACCTGGGCCACCCTCCTCCTCACAGGACCTCCAGCAGAGCAGGAGTGGGAGCCAGAGGAAGATAATCTTAAGGAAGATGCAAGTGCTTGAGCTGGCCCAGAAACAGTTTCTAGCTGGGACTAAGGAGGAGCTAAGACGGTCCTACAGGACTGAGAGGAGGAGGCTGAGCCTGAGCCCTCCACCCTCCAGCCTCAGCAGCTGGACAAGGGCTGCATGCCTTCTCATGCTCCCCCTTAGGGTCATGAAGGGACGGGCCAGTCTTCCCCCACCCCTCCATCCTCACTTCGGGATGGCCTTACGAGAAGTCAGCCTCCCAACCCCAGGCTTCCTGGAGTAACCACCAAGCTTCTGTCCCTGCAGAGTGCACTCCCTCCACGTCCAGATGCCTAAGTAGTGTGATTACTTCCAGTCCTCTCCTCCCTTGCCCCATCAAGGAGGATCGATGGAGAAGTGGGTGGGCAGGTAAGAGGTGGGCTGCCTGGGTGTAGGAATGGCTCTGTCCCTGGAGTAGGGGAATGGACATCACTGGGAGGGGCAGGAGGAAGTGATGAGTAACTTGCTTTCTGAGAAGTTGGCATCAGGATGTGGGGAGCCTGCTGGGGGTGAGGGGCCAGGTCACCAGACCAACTCTGGATCCTGTGTGACATCCCCACTCTGCCTTTGGTTGGTAGGCCCCCCTTTGGTCTGATGCTGCTTCTGTCCCTCCCTCAGCTCTGCCTAGATCAGGAGGTAAGCCAGGGACCAGAGGCTGTGATCCTTTCCTCTCCCCTGACCTCCCACCCTCTTCTCCAGCCCCTGACGAGCTATGGCCCCTTTCTCACATTTGGCCTCCCCCTGCCTCCCCTTCTCCCCTACTTCCTAACTCCTTGCCAAATAACACCTCTGCTGCTGGACCTGACTTTGGGCTGGTAACAACCTCTCTGAGCCTCCAGAATTGGCCTTGAGCCTCTCTCTACGGTTCCCTCTAAAATCATTCTAATTTTGTTTGACCTTTTTGTCCACATAGGTGTTGCCTGGAAATGCTCTTCAAACACCCCCTGAGGAAGGCCAGGGCCCGGAGGGCGTCTGGGGTCCTTGGGACCAGTGGGCCTCTTGTTCCCAGCCATGTGGGGTGGGGGTGCAACGCAGGAGCCGGACATGTCAGCTCCCGACAGCTCAACTCCACCAGGGCCCACCCCTCCCATCCCGGCCCCCAAGGCATCCAGAAATCCTGCTTCCCCGAAGTCAGGGCCCCAGACCCCAAACTCCCCGAGAAACTCTCCCCCTGTACAGGCCACAGCCTCGGGGAAGAGGTGGCCCACTTCGAGGTCCTGCTTCCCAGTTAGGGAGAGAGGAGGCCCAGGAGACTCAAGGAGCCAGGAGGTGAGGGGTAGGGTTTTGAGGGAAGGGGTTGGCCTGAGGCGAGGGGTGGGGCTTGGATAAAGAAAAGGGAAGGACACAGGGTTTGGGGTGGGGGGATGAGCTTATCTCTGGTGTTAGGAAGTCGAGGGGGGAGGGGAGGCAGGGTCAGAGACCGCCGGAGCAGTGATCCTATGTCTACAACACCTTCTCAGATCCCGGGTTCGAGACCCCATCAAGCCAGGAATGTTTGGTTATGGGAGAGTGCCCTTTGCTTTGCCACTGCATCGGAACCGCAGGCACCCCCAGAGACCGCCCAGATCGGAGCTCTCCCAGAACTCAGAGCTTCTTCCATCCCTGACTCCAGGAGCAGAGCCATCCTCTACAAACCACACCCCGCAAACTCAGTTCCCTCCTGTGCAGCTGTCTGCTCACACCCCGCCCCCCCCAGAATCCCTGGGCCCTGAGGCTGCTCAGACAGAGGTGCCCTCCAGAAAAAGGCCCACCTCCACATGGCCCCACCCCAGGGCCCAGGCCTTTGGCACAGAGCCACCCTCGTTCGCCCCCTCCCTAGGAGAAAGTGGCTCCTTCCATGTGTCCCCTCAGCCAAGAATGCCCAGTTCCCAGGGTTGGGCCAGTCCCCGGGTGGCAGAGAGACACCCTAATCCTTTCCTTTCTGTCCCTCGGGGCCAAAGCCAGCAGAGCCGGGAACGCTGGAGACCTGGGGGGAACAGTCACAGATCTCTCGTGGAGGCTGCCCCTCACTACCCTGACGGCTGGCTGCCTCTGCTAAGGGCTGGCCCCCACCCCAGCCCCCAGTGGAGCCTCTTTGCTCCCAGCAGCCCTGTCCCCAGGTGTCCTGGGGAGAGCGAGCAGCTGAGAGCCTGCAGCCAGGCGGTGAGTTCTTCCTGGGCCCACACTTGCCTCCATTACCCCTCCCCTGACTCAGTCTGGGTCCTCAGCTTGTCAGATCTGGGCCTGGGGGAGGAGGCCCCCATTTGACCTCCTCAGGGTAAGGGCCTTGGAGCCCTCCACAGACCTGACTTCCTCCCTATTCCCCAATCCAGCCCTGACCCACACCCCATTTTCCTCCCCAGCTTTGACTCCTCTGTATCCCCCCATCTCAGCCCTGCCCCCCTGAGCAGCCAGACCCCCGAGCCCTGCAGTGTGCAGCCTTTGACTCCCTGGAGTTCATGGGCCAGCTGTACCAGTGGGAACCCTTCACAGAAGGTGAGGTTTCTAACCCACCCCCGGACAAGGGGGCTTAAGACTTGGGAGTGATGGGGCAAGAGACACTCAATCCCTGTTTCTCTTCTGTAGGCCCTGTGTTTCTACTGTGTCATGTTTTCTTTCCTCTGTCCCAGGGCTGGGGTGAAGGGACAGCACAGGCCCAGGAAGGGGGGAGGGTTTCAGCGGGTCAGATGGTAGTGGGTGGTCAGCGGAGGGTCAGGCTGAGAGAGGGTGTGCCCTTTGGCTAGTTAGTCCATCCCGGGAGGAGAAGTGGACACGGCCTGAGAGGGACAGTGGAGAGATCCTGTCCAGCAGTGACAGCAGGGTTGGAGTGTGCCATGGGTCCTGGGTGGGGTTATAGCACTAGCTCCCAACTCACCATCCACTCAATTTTTAGGCTTATGTCAACTTGATACCAAGGTAACCTCTCCGAACTCGCATAATCAAAGGTTTCAAGTATGTCTCCCCTTTCACAACCCTGGTCTCAGTGACCTAAATTGACCTGACTCGACTTCTAAGTGACCCTCAAATGAACCTTTCAGAGCACAGAATTGTCACATTGTCTTCATCCACAGTGACCTAGGCAACCTCCGGATAGCCAATAGCTAATATAAACCAAGCTTCTGACATGGCCCTCTGGCCTTTCCCAGTTAACCCCCCCAGGGACCACAGCTAACCACCCTCCTACCCTGCCTCTTAGTTCAGGGCTCCCAACGCTGTGAACTGAACTGTCGTCCCCGTGGCTTCCGCTTCTATGTCCGTCACACTGAGAAGGTCCAGGACGGGACGCTGTGTCAGCCAGGAGCTCTGGACATCTGTGTGGCCGGACGCTGTTTGGTGAGCGAGGCTGGGGCGCGCATACAGTCTCCTCGTTTATGGTCACGACAGCACCACACTGAGATGGAATGAGGCTGGTTCTCACCTGCCAAGCTGGGCTGAGCAGAGCCAAGAGGTGGACTGCAAGAAGGCTCGCTCAGGCCCACCAGGGCTTCCCTGAGGCTGGCTGGGGATGGGGGCGCTGACAAACGTTCTCACTTGTGCAAAGACCAAGATGCGTGGAGGGCTGAATGGTCCCAAGAGGAGCAGGATGAGGTGTGAGGTGGTGTCTGGCTTCAAGTGGCCCTGCCTCACTTTGCTTTTCTCCAGAGCCCTGGCTGTGATGGGATCCTTGGCTCTGGCAGGCGTCCAGATGGCTGTGGAGTCTGTGGGGGTGATGATTCTACCTGTCACCTAGTCTCCGGGAACCTCACTGACCGTGGGGGCCCTCTGGGCTATCAGAAGATCCTATGGATTCCTGCTGGAGCCTCCCGGCTCCAGATCGCCCAGCTCCGGCCCAGCTCCAACTACCTTGGTGAGCTTTCCGGGCTCCCTGAGTCTTGGGCTCCCTGAACTCTCTTCCTGGTCTCATGGTTCTGCCCCCCACACCCCCATGCAGCACAGCAAACAAGCCCCTGGGTTGGAGGAGGAGGAATCCAAGAGAGTACGGGTATCTGGGGGCTCTGAGTGGTTCAGGAAGTGGTGGGACAGGAGGACAGGACTCACCTCCTGTGTCCTGATCTCCCTGCTCCAGCACTTCGAGGCCCTGGGGGTCGATCCATCATTAACGGAAACTGGGCTGTGGATCCCCCGGGGTCCTACACAGCCGGCGGGACTGTCTTCCAGTACAACCGTCCTCCTCGAGAGGAGGGCACGGGGGAAAGCCTGTCAGCCGAAGGCCCCACGACCCAGCCTGTGGATGTCTATGTGAGCTTGGGGCCTGGGGAAGCAGAACTACTGGGGAGGGGGCCTTTCCCTCTGATGGCAAAGATGGAGGGAAGGCGACTGGTATGGGACCCTTGCCACCCCAAACATTCATTACCTTCTCTTTTTCTCCCCAGATGATCTTTCAGGAGGAAAACCCAGGTGTTTCTTATCAGTATGTCATCTCTTCACCTCCTCCAAACCTTGAGAACCCTGCCCCAGAGCCCCGTGTCCCCCAGCTCCAGCCTGGTAAGGCCTGATCCCTAGACGTAGGAGGCGGGGAGGGATGAAAGGGAAGCTCCGAGGCAGTGGGAGCATCTGATTTGCCTCCTCGACTCTCCCTGGGCAGAGATTTTGAAGATAGATCCCCCACCTGCTTCAGCACCCCGTCCCACCCGGACCCCCGGCACACTCCAGCGTCAGGTGCGCATCCCCCAGATGCCCGCCCCACCCCACCCCAGGACACCGCTGGGGTCTCCAAGTGGATTCTGGAAACGTGCGGGACACTCCGAGTGCTCGGCATCCTGTGGCAAAGGTGAGACTTCACACACGAGCCTGTGTTCCTGGCACCCTCAGCCCCGGTCCCGAACTCGGCCCTCCTGATTGCGTACCCTAGATCATGGGTCCACACCTCAACTGTCAAACCTGGGACCCCACTGACACTGGACTCAGAGCCATCCTACCCCCCTGGCTTCCCTCTCATCCCTTTCAGGTGTTTGGCGCCCCATCTTCCTCTGCATTTCTCGTGAGTCAGGAGAGGAACTGGATGAACGCAGCTGCGCTGTGGGCACCAGACCCCCAGTCTCCCTGGAACCCTGCCATGGCCCCCCGTGTCCCCCATAGTGAGTATGACCCACAGGGAGGGTTACCTAGGAACACAACAGTTGCTCCAGGCAAACACATCCTCACTGCCCAGGTCTTACCTGGATTCTGCAGCAACGTGAGTCTCCTGGCTGCAGAGACAGGGTTTGACTAGAAATGCTGCTATTCCAGAGATAGCACAAAAATCCCAGCCGCCTGAGCTCCGAAGAGAACCTGGACCCGGTGTGTCTGCCCTCTCTCCAAACTCAGCAGCCCCACACATCTTCTCTTTTGCCATCTGTGTCTCTGTTTCTCCCCCACTCTGCACATAACCACAGCTGGGAGGCTGGTGAGTGGACGTCCTGCAGCCGCTCCTGTGGCCCGGGCACCCAGCATCGCCAGCTACGCTGCCGGCAGGAGTTTGGGGGGGGTGGCTCCTCAGTGCCTCCTGAGCGCTGTGGACACCTTCCCCGGCCCAACATCACCCAGCCCTGCCAGCTGCGCCTCTGTGGCCATTGGGAGATTCGTTCTCCGTGGAGCCAGGTGAGTGGGACCAGACAAGCAGGGTCTTGGAGGGGGAGGATCCTAAGGGAACAGGCCCCAGTAAGCTAGAGGAGTGGCTTTCCAACTTATTTATTTATTTTTTTATCCTCACCCGAGGACATCTTTCCATTTTTTGTTCAGATAGAGTGGGAGTGAGAGAGAGAGAGAAACGTCAACGTGAAAGGGACATATTGAGTGGTCACCACCCACACGACCAACCAGGGCCAGGGACAAACTGCAACCGAGGCACGCGCCCTTAGCGGGAACCGAACCCTGGTCTCTCTGGACCGCAGGCCAACGCTCTAACCGCTGAGCCAGACTGGCCAGAGCGATTTTTATTATTATCATTTTTTAAATCCTCACCCAAGGACATTTTCCCATTGACTTTTAGATAGACTGCAAGGGAGAGAGAGAAACATGGATGTGAGAGACACATCGATTGTTTGCCTCCTGCATGGCCCCGACTGGGGTGGGGATCAAACCTGCAACCCAGGTACATGCCCTTAATCAGGAATTGAACTCTTGACCCTTTGGTCCACAGGCCAACACTCTAACCACTGAGCCAAATTGTCCAGGGCTCCAATTTATTTTTAATCAGCAGAAACAGTTTACAAACAAGATCTCACATGGGACACCAATCTATAAGGCAGATAGGCTGAACCTGGGTTGGGGCCCAGAGTCCTGTGCTCACCCCACAAAGCCATGTAGCTGCTGAGCCAGGGATCAAAGGCAGGTCCTTGTTCAAGAGCCACAGAGCTGGAGGTTGGTGAGGAAGCCTGGACCCAGCTCCTTGGATCCTCTCATCCCCTCAGTGTTCTGTGCGGTGTGGGCGCGGCCAGAGGAGCCGGCTGGTTCGCTGTGTTGGAAACAATGGTGATGAAGTGAGCGACCGGGAGTGTGCGTCAGGCCCCCCACGGCCCCCCAGCAGAGAGGCCTGTGACATGGGGCCCTGTACTATGGCCTGGTTCCACAGCGACTGGAGTTCCAAGGTGGGCCCCACACCCAGGACACCCTATTAGAGCTTTTCCAAAACTCAGTGAACATTTACTGAGCAAGCACCTACTGTGTGCTAGACAGTGCTGATGCTGGGAACACGGAGATAAGTGAGAAAAACTCCCACTATGGTCCTGGAACCCCCAGCAAAGGTTCCCCTTATCTGGCTGGTCCCCCTGGGGCATTCCCTGACTCCCAGGATCTGGATCCAGGACACACTGATCCTCTCAGCCCCTACTTCTTCTCCCCTTCATCACCAGCAGCCCCCCTCACACAGGCCCCCTGCTCTGCTTCTCAACAGTGTTCAGCTGAGTGTGGGACAGGAATCCAGCGACGTTCTGTGGTCTGCCTGGGGAGTGGGGAGGAAGCTGTAGTAGGAACCAGTGAGCAGAGCTGTGCCCCCGGAAGCCGCCCCCCTGACATGCGTGCCTGCAGCTTGGGGCCCTGTGAGATGACATGGTGCTGGTACACAGGGCCCTGGGCCGAGGTGAGCTGGGAGCCTGGGAGGGGGTGCCTGTCAGTGTGTCCCCTGGGAGCAGTTGGGAGTGATCCCTGCCCCTTGCACACCCTGTGCTTCCTCTCCATCAGTGCTCCTCAGACTGTGGCTCTGGCACACAGCGCAGAGATGTCATCTGTGTGTCCAAATTGGGGACTGAATTCAACGTGACTTCTCCTAGCAACTGTTCCCACCTGCCCAGGCCCCCTGCCCTGCAGCCCTGTCAGGGGCAGGACTGCCAGGACCGATGGTTTTCCACTGCCTGGAGTCCGGTGAGTGCCTGGCTCCCGTGCCCTGCTCAGTGTGGACTTCCAGGGAAGGGGAGGCTCCTCTCACGAAACCCCTCATCTGTGCTCCAGGACAAGGCCAGCTGCAGTTTAACATTGTCCCACATCCTGTACACCTGAAGGACAGGTGGGCCTGCTCCATGTGGGACGTTATAATGCTCCAAAACAGCCCTGCCCACATATTCCTTTCAGCGGAGGACGAGGCCTGGGGTTCAGGAGGAGCCTGGGGCACAGAAAAGGTTTGATTTGGTAGCTGGGGTCTCCCCAGTGTTCTCGTTCCTGCCAGGGTGGCGTGCAGACAAGGGAGGTCCAGTGCCTGACTGCCAACCAGACCCTCAGCATCCGATGCCCTCTTCATCTGCGGCCCTCCAGGAAACGACCCTGTAACAGCCAACCCTGCAGCCAGCGCCCTGGTAAATAGCCCCCTCGCCCCCCCTCCCAGTAGAACGGTGTTAGCTGAGGTGTGGGTGGAAAGGAGAAAGAACCAGTGGGTGTGGGCAACACTCCTCCAGAGGGATGGAGCTTGGTGATGACTATCTTGTGCCCCCTGGCCTCCTCTGTCCCCAGATGATCAGTGCAAGGACAGCTCTCCACATTGCCCCCTGGTGGTACAGGCCCGGCTCTGCGTCTATCCCTACTACACAGCCACCTGTTGCCGCTCTTGTGCCCGTGTCCTGGAGCGGTCTCCCTCCGAGCCCGCCTGAAATGGGTTCTCTCCTCATGGTTTCTCATGCCACCATCAGTCACCCATCAATCAGCTCGCTTTGTACCCTCTGGCTCTCCAGCTTGTCCTAGTCTCACCAGGGATGTCCCCCAGGGTGGCTGAAGGTGGCAAGATGACTGACAGCGACGATCAAGACTTGTAGTTGGGTTGGTGTGGTGGTGTGATGGTGTATGTGCACATATGTCTCCAAACGTGTATCTGGGCCTGCATGGGTGTGTGCACTCATAAGTGTGTGTCACTTCTCACAAAGTTAGACTGAGGAAGGGGGAGGGGATAATGCCTGTTTCCCTGAGACTTTTCTAGGCTGGGAGGAAAGCACGTTTGTGGCTCCTGAGTATCCCAGCTCCTTAGTGACTGCTCCCCCCCCATCAATTCCAACTTTGTTCCCTAAACCTCAGTTCTCAAGGTCAGGCCTCCGCTCTTCTAAACTACCTGTTTGTCCTCAGACCCTTTCTCCTCTTAGCTAATCTCTCTATCCCTTCCTCTCACAATTACTTAGCTAGGGGTGGGGGTCAGCCACTGCCAACCCTGCCTTACCCCAGAAAGAGCGAGTAACTTCCCAGAACAGGGACCAGCTGGGCAGAGGATGGAAAGAGAAAGGTTACAATAAGGCAACCTAACCCCTGCTCCCCATCTCCTGAAATGGTTCCCACCCCAGAACTAATTTATTTTTTATTAAAGATGATTATGACAAATGAGAAACAGGCTCTTTATTGTCCTCATGGAAACCCAGCCATACGGGCCACCTACGCAAGCAGTGTGCAGCCCGAATGAAGGGTGGGAAGGGGAAACAGCATTCAGAGCCCAGGTGGAGAGAGTCGGCCCAGAAAGGCTAATGTGTGAGCCCCAATCACCTGAGATCTGTAGCCTGGGTCAGAGGGGTAGGATCCTGGCCGGCCATAAGCCCTGCAGATTGGTCGTTGACCACTAGAGGTCACCACTTCTCCCAGTTTAGGTATGGAGTTGGGAGCTCGGGTCCAGAGCTGAGGAAAACACTGCCCGGTCTACGGTGGGTTTCTTGGTAGGCTGGGTTTTTCTGTCAAGTTTCTTGGAATCTAGTAGCACTTCTTTCAATGTGGGGCTGAGCTGAAATGGCAGCTGGCTTTTTAAGAGTCTTTCTTCCTGTTCTCTTTCTTCGGCCCTGCCTTCCTGCCTCTCCCATCCTTTCTGCTATTACCCATTTCCCTATTAAGCTGTTAGTTTATTGCTTTTCATAGAGTGGGGGGAGAGGAAGTGATTTCTGCCCCCCCCCCCCCCAGCAGAAACGGCTGGAGGAGGTGGAGCCTGGCCTAGCTCTAGGCAGTACTGGATGTCCTGCCAAAGACACATTCTTCTGTGATGTCTCACCCTAGTCTTCTCCCTCCTGCCTCCCCCGCCCATTTCATCTCTCAAGGTAAATAGCTTGCTAGAGGTGGTGTGAAAGCAGGCAGCCCTTTCTATAACACAGCTTCTCTCCCTGACGCTACCAACCTGAGGGCTGAGTCCAGGTCTCCACTTCTGGGACTTCCCAGGGGTCCCTGTGCCTAGGAAGGGGTCATTGGCACAGAATCAGACTCCTCTCGTTGGAAGCATCCTTCCCCACCCCCCCCCACCCCTCTCTGCACCTCCACAAGTGTGGCTGAGGAAGACCATTAATAAGGCCTGCAGAACTCAGGGACTACTCACACCCAGACCCTGTGAAGGACAGGACTGTCTACTCTAGCTGCTCCTGTACACCATCTGTTGCCTTGGGACTGAGGCTCTCCCTGGCCTGCAAGTGGCTGAGAAGACTTTGGACTATACCTTGAGAATAGGTGAGGAAGGAGGCAAAAGGGAATGGAGGGAAAGGAAAATAAAACTGACTTTAGCCCAGAGCAAGGAATGATTGAAGAGAGGGGATACGAGGAAACCCCAGCCTCGATGGCTCTGCTCAGCCTAAACAGGAACACTAAAGCATGTCGCTAGTGAACTGTTCCTCTCTGGTGAGCTAGCTGTAAGGGGATCAAAGACGTGGGGGACAAGGGAAGTGAGACCTGAGCCAGCCCAGTAGATACTGAAGGCGGAGTCCTTAGCTGAGGGAGGGGTGGGGGTGAGTAGCTGGGCCCCTCCCAGCGATTCCTGGAAACCGGCTGGGCGGTGGCCCCAGCTCAGCTGACTTCCCCTGAAGTTCCCCCTCCCTGGTAGGGCCTCTCAAGGCTGTTGCTGGGCAGGTTTGGAGTTTGGCCTGAGCAAGAGAACCAATCACAGGTGGAGAATGCAGTCACATCTCCTCTCAAGGCTCCCCCCAAGCTTAAGTGCCTCCTTTGAGAAGCTCCCTCTTGGCCTCCAGTCCCGGACTTCTCAGGAGTGGGCTTTCATGTGGGGTTGCCCCTTCCCCCTCTCATGTTAAAGCTAGAGTCCTGTGAGATCCCTAAGGATTATTTCCTCTGGTCACTGAGGTCAGTATGGGGTCAGTGTGGAAGTTTTCAGGAAGGGGAACCTGACCCCGAGCAACCCCTTTTCCTGGCCCCATAGAGGGGAGTAGTGTCGCCCGACACCTTGTTGACCTCTGAAGCCCTCTGGAAGGACTTGGGAGAGAGGAAGCTACAACCCAAGGCCAGAGAGGTGTGGAGGGGCCTGAGGTCTAGTGCACTGAGAGGAATTAAGGGAAGGACTCAGAGGAAGTGCACCCCTGAGAACTGAGGTGAAGGTGGGGGTGACAGGAACTGTCTTGATATGCACAAGAGAGAAGGCCAGCCAATGCTGAGGGCTTCCCATTTCTGAGTGCAAAAGGACTGTGGTTCTCTGTGTTAGGGTTTTGTTTAGGTGGGTGACATGAGTTTGTGAAAGAATTCACAACTGAGAGAAGAAAGGCAGGAAATTTATTTTGTCTTTCCCCATAGATAGAGAAAGGGTCTCTGCAATGACTGGCAATACAAGGGCAGAACAGAAAGAGTGAGTTGCTCTTTTATTGGGGGCTTTTGGGAGTACAGGGCAGATGCACCAGGAGGGTTTCTTGTATCTTCTTTAGCCTGTAAAATATGCTTGGGAAAAAGGAGAGAAGGAATGTGGGCCTGGGACTGCAGGGGCCGGTCGCCAGTGAGTCATGGGCACGAGTCCAGGGTCCAGCATTCTGATAATCAGGTTGTTAATCTTTCTTTCTTTTTTTTTTTTTAAACATTTTTTCTTTATTGATTTTAGAGAGAGGAAGGGAGAGGGAATGAGTGATAGAAACATCGATGAGAACATATGATCGGCCACCTCCTGCACTGGGGATCGGGTCCACAACCTGGGCATGTGCCCTGACCAGGAATTGAACCCGTGACCTCCTGGTGCATGGGTTGATGCTCAGCCGCTGAGCCACACCAGCCAGGCAGGTTGCTAATCTTTCTACGATGTCTGGTAGTCCCCTTGTCCTCAGATTAGGAGAATGGACAGCATTCCGGAGGTAAACTCCAGGGGCACACACCTCCCAGCCAGGTCAGAGTGGGTTTTTCCTCAATCAGAACAAAGCAATCACGACCAACATTGTAAAGGATTTTCTAACTATGGCTAGTGCCCCACTATGATTAGTTTTCTTACTCTTCTAATATTTTCTATTAATTCTAATACTCTTTCCTGCCCCTTTCAGTTGGGTAGAAAGGCGGTTTGAAGGTGCAGACACCAGCAAGCTCCGTGTTTAATTACCAGGTGCTTCTCATAAATTTTGAGAAAAAATTATTTAAAAAAAGAAAAATCCTGCCTTCTGTCCTTAGAACTCCCCACTGTAAGTACTAGAATTGTTTTTATTAACAATAGACTTGAAACTAGGGAGCGAAGGTCATTCTTATGTAACTTCTTCAAGCTTAGGAGGTATAGCTGTCCCTGCCAGGGAGTCCTAATAAGAGTCACCTAGAGGGAGGGGCTGGTAATGGACAGTTTTGAAGGCTAGTGCTGGGGCAGGAGGGTGGCTCTGGTGTAAGGATTGGATTACAATTGTATTAAAGTTCAGTCATTATATTATTTATCTGTAATTTAGGAGTGAATTCGTGAGGTCTTAGTTCAGCAGGGTCAGAATTCTCCCCTCCCCCTCCTAGCTTCCCCAGGGTAATTACCCACCCAATTAAGCTGTGGCCTTCAGACTAAATTTAGCTCCTAGACTTCCCCAACCCCTGGGGCCTCCCTGCAAGCAGGTGCTCACAGCTGCCCTGCAGCAGGTGCTCACAGCTGCAAGGCTGGGTCTGTGGAGACCGGCTTTTTGTCACTGTCACCTCCATGGTTCAGATTCAACCTCTCTGGTAACTAGGAGTGAAGCAGAGCACAGGAACTCAGTTGCTGGCCTAGGGCCTGACCTGAGTGTCTCAACCGTTAAGTCACCTCTCTCAGGATCTTGTTAGAGAACTATGGTTGGAGCATCTAGATAGACCTTGAGGGCCGTGGGAGGGCAGAAAGATAGAGTGAGGACCAAATACAAGAGCACCCCTCCAGATTCTCTCCAACCAGATCCTCTTTCATTTCTTGCTTTCCCCTTCTCCCCAGTTTTACAAATAGAGAACTTGATTTTAACTTAACAGCCTCCCCGACTGGAGTAAATGAATCAGGGAGACCTCTCCTCTCTTGAACCATGGAGAGTCATGCTAAACTAGATACAGCTGTAGTTTGTGGCTGTGTGTGGTGGGGGTTCCCACCCTCTCTCCTACGAACATGTCTCAATTCTACCATCTCTGGTGCTGGGAGTCAGCTGGGTTGTTAGCACAAAGGGGGCTTATTTGTCACGGGCAGGTGATGAAGAGATGTCAGCTTTAAAGGGTGAGAGGCATTTTTACAGGAAGTAGAAAGCCTCAGGAAAGTACCTAAGTCTAAGTTTGTCAACAAGAGTGGTTTTGGTTTTTTTTTTGGTTAATCCTCACCAGAGGATATTTTTCCATTGATTTTTAGAGAGTGTGGAAGGGAGGGAGGGTGGAAGGGAGAGGGGAGAGAGAGAGAGAGAGAGAGAGAGAGAGAGGCAGGCAGAGAGAGAGGCATTGATGTGAGAGAGACATTGGTTGCCTCCCCCATGCACCCTGACCATGCCAGGGATTGAACCTGCAACCCAGGTATGTGCCCCTGGATGGGAATTGAACCCTCAACCCTTCAGTGCTCGGGACAACATTCTAACCACTGAGCCACACCGGCCAGGGCAAGAGTGGTTGTGTTAAACTAGACAGCACACATCATGACTGTGACTTTGGGCTCCTTGACCCAGGAGACTGGGTAAAACTCTAGAAGAGGGTGTTTCGGGCTGAGATCTGAAGGTAGAAGGGATTGGAGAGAGGAATGTACAAGACTAGTCCAAATAAGGTATGCATGAGCCATGGCCACCAGATCTTAGGGAACCAGCCAGCCACATCAGCTGAAGGGGAAGTGCAGCAATGCTAGGAATCAGAACAGTGCATTTTCTCAGGGAACTGAGTGGCCTGGGAAAGAACCTAAGTAGTTACGGGGAGGGATGGGTTCGATTTCAGTAAGGTCCCAGGTTGGAGTTAGAATTCATGTGTTGTGCTCCGAGCCTTGAGTGAAATCTGTTGATGACACAGCTGCACAGAACCTTAAGTGGAGGAAAAGAAACTGGGGAGAGTGTGGGGTTACTCATAAAAAGTAGCAGACTGTGTGGGACCCCTAGGCAAAAAGGCAAGGTGGCAAAGGCACTGCCTTGACAGGAGAGGCAGTTTAACTGCCCCAGAACCAGAGTAACTCTTCTTTCATCTCCCACTACTGA